CAATGAAATTCGACACGAATACATAACTATAATTCTCAGAAATTTATATTGCTCATCAATCTCTGGTGTTGTGTTAAAAACATGCTGCCATGTGTACCTATATTTTGATATATAGAATAAATATTTTTTGTATAATTAACAAAACTAAGTTCCTAAAGTCAATCCTAGGGGTTTTGATATCTATTCGTTATCTGTTTCAATAATTGTATTGTGTATACAAATCAAGATACATACCATTTAATAATACTTACAAGTATTCATTACAGATTATTATTCCAGGAAACATCACTCTATTTTACAAATTATGTAAACATTATAATATTTGTAGTGTAAACACATAAATTGGTACTGCAATAACATGTCTACATAGTATGAAGGGTCTGGAGCCCTAGGGACGCCTGCAGGCCAGAGTTTATACATGAAGATTGAGCACCTTCTCCACATTAATAAACTAGATGCAACTAACTAGCAGACCCAGCCAACACTGTAATCGAATTATTCTAGGGACGCCTACAGAGGCAGCATAACAACAAGATATAAATATTAAAAGACTGTAGCTCATGCGTAAGAAACGTGATTGAAAAAAACTTCTCTCCCTAAATAAGTAAGAAAGCCGGCTATGGTAGAAAAAAGTGCTAGAGTAGTGCAACACAACTAGATTATGTTATTCAACTCTTTAAATTATCGAAGACTCGTCAAAATGCTTCAAGTGAATTGTGTTAATTCTAAATTATTAAGACAAAATACGCGTAAAAGTAACCCTAACTTTTAGTTCATCTATTGGAATGCTTATTTTATTTCTACTATATTGTTTAAACACCCTTAGTTTAAAATATAGTTTTCAAAAATATATCTATATCTTATGTACTTACATCATTCATATTTTATTTAACACTATTATTTACGATTATACTATAATGTTATAAAGAGAAAAGTCTTTGGTTTGCTGGTTTGCATTGTCATCATCATCATCATCATCAGCCCTTTTACGTCCCCACTGCAGGGGCTCAGGCCTCCCTATGGATGGTTAAGGAGGATGAGCCATCGCTGCTCTCAACGCTGACCCAATGCGGATTGCAGGGTATTAACGACCACAAATGCAGCCGGGGCCAACGGCTTAACGTGCCTTCCGAAGCACGGAGTTGCTCGAGATAATAATTTTTTGGTTACATATCCCGTGACCGACCCTTACAAAAGTTGCTTAACGACAACGATCGCGGGCCACGGCGCTTATCCACTACGCTACCGAGCTTTGCATTGTATAGGTTCTGAAACTACTGAACCAATTTTAATTAGTCTTTCACCAGCGGAAAGCTACATCATACGCGGGTGACATAGGTTATAATTAACTCGGTCAAAGTCGCAAGAAAACAGCTAGTTTCTACTAATTGAGATTATACAAATAAAAATACTTGGATATGTATTGCTCCTTAGAGAAATACTTCAGAAGCGAAGATCAACTGGTTTTAAGGAGCTACTTAGACCACAACATCATTAATAAAATAACGTTACCATAACAATCTTGGAAAATTATGCAGTTTCCTTTCCATTAACCCACTTAAGGATCGATTCGGGACCTCCGAGATGCCATGATAGGCATTTATTATTACTAAATTACGCTTTCTTTTATCTGAACAGAATGCAAGCTTTCTGCTAAATTCGTATTCTATTGTGTCGTATTAGGGACAATGGTGCGCCGATTGCAGCCTGCTTTAGCTATTTTATTTTCAACCATTACGCCATTGTCAACTGAATCATTGTATCAACACAATGCTATGGGACATTTTGAAACTATTTCTGGAACTTACATATATCTAATATGTAAGTTACCCTATTAATTCCAAATATGTTATCTTTGAGCAGAAAATAAAGTATAATATTCAATGTATATCTCGTAAATCAAAACACAAATCATTTGCACTCAATAACAAGTTAAATCTATTATATAGAACTTAAAAACCTTACAATCAATTTTATGTGAAAATTAATATAGCGTTATAAAAATTGGTATAAAATACTAATATTGGATAAAAACATAAAATTTAATAATGTCCAGTGATGTCACAAAAACATATAAGGTCTCCGTAAAATACTCAATAGCCACGAGAGCTATAGAACCCAATCGTAAATATTTAACTTCTGAACTTTTATTTTCGTCCAGAAATAACAAAAATTTTAAGGGTTGCAAAAAATACAAATTTTTGTGCTCATACTTACCGAAATTATTAATGTCGGAAGCGCTATTAAAACATAATCCCATTTGCTCTCATAATATTTCATTGTGTCGGTCGCATTTTTAAAAGTAGCAGCAGTTTTAAAAGTTTCCTTACATAGAGTTGTGGTATACTAATACAAACAGTAAATAAACATGAATTACCCTAAACGGACGTATTTAATTTACTCCGATGTCCACTCTGCCAAGATTCAATACAAAATTTATCTTATCGAATTCCTAATATAACAGACATCATAGATTCATTATCAGGCACAGTATATTTCACAAAAATTGATTTGTCAAATAGTTTTTACCAATTACGGCTAGACAGTAGAGACATAACTTCGTTCTTCGCAAATTCAAAACAGTATAGAATGACACGTTTACCCCAAGGTTTAAAAATAAGTCCGACTGTATTCAGTAGAATAATGTCGATTGCTTAATCGGGACTCACACCGGAAAAAAATGTTTTATTTACTGTAACGATATTGTTTGCTTTGATCGAAATATAAAAAATCATAATAAAAATTTTATAGACATTTTAAAAGGCTCAGAAAAACAACCTTAAAATTAAACCTCCAAAAATGAGAAATTCTTAAAACGAAGTAGTATATTGAGTATTAAGTACTATCGTGAACTATGCAGAAATTTGTTGGTTTCTTTGTCAAAAGAATGTCAAGATGCTTTCAGATTATTAAAGCAAAAATTAGCTCAACCACTAGTTCTCGAATATCTTGACTTCAGCGAAAATTATCATTTTATTTTCCAATCAGACGCAAGTCAAGTTACGATAGGTAGCGTTCCTATGAATAAAAATATGAAACCAATAGCTTACACAAGTCGACGATTAAACAACGCAGAACGAAATTATCCTACAATTCATAAAGAGTTATTGAGTATAGTATGGAATGTAAAATATTTTAAACCTTATTTAATAGTAAATATATTGGAAATTCAAACAGAACATAGACCACTTATAAGTTTATTTAAATAAAAATCCAGAAAGCAGACTATTATAATTTAGATTACAGTTAGAATAATTTAACTACAATATTAAAAAGGATCGATAAATACAGCAACCAGTTTAAGTAATATAGTAGTAACTTCAGACGAATAAAAAAAAATCTACAAATCAAAGAAGTAAATTAGAGCGTAGGAAAAGCGCAAGTTTTCAAAGTAATTCTGAGCTAAGAACGTCCGACCGATAAAAATACTGCGGAAACCTAGCGATACTTTAGAAATACCGGTTATATCAGAATTATTACGTACACCTATAGGTAGTGTTTTCGTAACTTGTATAAATATATTTATTATAGAATTAAGATTCAGACAGCAATTTATTGGAGCAGAATTTTCTGATCAGTTACAAGAGTTTTGTAAAAAAGTATAAATATGATAAAAGAAATCGTTAAGTTAAGATTGATAACAGAGTGAAAAAAGGAAATAAATAGTAGAACTACGTGGAAAGACCCACGAATAAATATATTAAGTAAGGTAAAAAGAATTACAGATGAGAAAGAAAGACAAAAACCCTCTCCTCGAATATTAAAGAGTTCTGCAGACTGTTTAAGCAGTACAGTATTTTTACACGACTAGCCAAAAACAGAGTGTTTAGGGTTCATGTATGAATATACCATAATTTTTGAGACTTAAATATACATGTCAACGCTGGAAAGTGAACACATAATCAAAACCAAAATTGTTCTTCAGAGCAGAAAATCTTTTGTTTTTTCTATAAATAATTCTTATAAAGGTTCATGGTCATAAAAAGATGTTCATTAGTCAAATTATACTGAAATAAGTTCCATTTTGGCGGTCGTATTTTTTAATTACTTATTTTTAATCAATGTACTTTTTATGATATGAGTCATTTAATTTAAAAATGACTCATTAAATGGTTTCATCGGAATCTTTCTTACTTTTTAAGGACACAATAAAATCACCTAGTTGCCTCGCTCTAACGCCACAATCGCAACGAAGCAATTTCCTCTCCGTCAGCGTCCGACAGCACTGTCACGCGCGATGACACAACTAAATATAAAAGTATTTATTAAAAAAGAACAACAATTTTGTTTTCGTATTCGGACAGTTATAATAGTAATTATACAATTTTCACAAGAATTACTTCCAATTCGATTACAATTCGACCTTCTTTTGTATTTTCTGTCCACGATATTTTTGGTCATATTTATCTTCAGGTTCATGAAAAGATTTTCTTATTTATTATTATGACTAATAGTCTGAAAAATATACAATTACTTAATTTTTATTAAAAATTAATTTTAATAAAAATACCGTAACAGAATTGTTAATGTTAATAAATTTGAAAAACAAAGAAAAATATGCTCAGTTCCTGTACCTTGTCTATTTAATATTATCAAATTATGGTTTGTTACAAATTGTATACACAATATTCGTTTTATCAAAAAAGATATCGGTATACATTCGTTTTTAACATAGATCGAGCAACCAAGAAAACGATGAATCGTCTCCTGGACGCCCCGGATAGCGTTCGTTCCACTCAATCAAGACAGTCGGCTATTCTGGCCCAAATTAGATAACGTCCCGGGAAAATATAAAATGTTACGGTGCGTGCAGTTTTTGATTAAGAGCAAAGCGACCAGATTAATTTAGCATTGAGCAGGCCGTTTGTCTCGGTTGATGGAGCGGAATAGATGATGTTGCTAATAAATCCACTTTCCTCGATATTTTAATGTAAATATCGAGAAAAGAAAAAAATGAAGACAAATAAACGATTTTAATAGTTCTATTAAATATTTGATAATTAGTCGATACATAGTTTCTTAAAGGAACATTCCATACTCGGGAAAATTGAAGTAATAGTCATCGGGGTCCCAGGTCGTTTCGATTCATCAACTCTCTTCTTTGCTTCTTCTTCGAAAAATTGGGAGTTCGCTTTGACCTTCTCCCATATTTCATCTTAAATATAAAAGGATATAAATTAATACTATTTTTAAATATAATACCTAAATATTTATATTAATATCTACAATGTCGAACTAATATTGTTAAAAGTTTTCTGATGTGTAAACGTTTGTTTATCAGGATGATTGATGTTTATCAAAGGTACACGTAGAAGTAATTTGATTTCTCAACCTATTGTAGAAGACTCAAGCTTATAACAAATATTCTATATCTACTATTTACTGAGTTAAATCTAAAGAATTGTTTATTATTTGTATTTGGAGAGTCTACAATAATTATTAGACTGACCGTTTTTTAAATTAATTTCTTCTTTAAAAATTTTCCAATTTAAAACATTTTTTTTTGTATGTTTACATTGAATAGGCACCGAAGCTACTGGACTGATTTTAAAACTTCTTTCACTCACGGAACTCGTGCATCGAACGCGGATGACATAGGCTACGATTAACGTGAACAAAGTCGCCGGAAGCCAGCTAGTATCTTATAAAAAGAACGTCTATGAAGTATTAACCTAAAACAATCATGACTTGAATTTCAAATAAGTATCCAAATAATATGTGAATAAATATTAGAAGTTTAAAATTAATTGTTACCTCTTAACGTAGCCAAGTTTTTATTTTGTCCCCCCATCTCTTTTGGCAACGCTGCTTTAGATATATAACGATACAAACTGTCTGATCCCACTTGATGCACCTTTATCATATCCAGCATCTTCAAAGTCATGATGGGTTTCAACATAGAAAGCAGTTTATCAACGAAACTTGGTGCATTTATGAAATGGAATTCCTTAAGTTGGATGAACATCGCTTCCTGTGACGTAACAAAAAAATAATATAACAATATGCACATTTTTTTTAAGCAATATGAAAATAAATATAAACTTCTCTAGTTACCCGGATTGCAAAAGGCCGTGGGTTCGAGTCCCATATCAGGGTGCCAGGGGCAAAGTGAATTTTTGATAAAGAAAATTTATTGTTTTTTTTGGTCGGTTAAAATTATATAACCGTAGGTCTCGCATCAAGTAATATAACCTGATATTGAAACAAATGATATTTATCTTAAGCGAGATTTTTCAAGAGTATATAAACCCAAGTACATACATTCATTTGGAGAAATTTAGAAAAAAACTTGCCTGTAAAAAATAGAAAAATTCCTGAGCTACGTTTAAATCGATCCCTGTTGTATGTGATATAGTAACATTGTTCATATCCACTACAACCGCCACTCCAGGCCAGGTCCCCTCCTCGTATAACAAGAGATCCATAATCATAATAAATGCCCTGTAAAAATAATTTTATATTAATAATAATTTAGTATTTAACACCCACTTTCACTAAACTTAGAACAAATCATAGCTTAACTAGGAAACGCCTAATATTACAAATCGCCTAAGCAGAGTAGTTTAAATCCAAATAAATATTTTTTTCTTTTATTCTGTGACATATTCTTTTCATATACGCAAATGCCTAGCACAAGGCGCCTCATAACGAATATCATATCTTTAGACATTGCTTAATTTGGTGAGGTGGTTCTTAGTCAATGGTGATATGCATATTTACCTTAGGCGGTTCCTAAATATTTAGGCAACAGATTTGGGCGACTCCTAAGTTTAGTGGAAACGGGCATAAGTACTGTTTTTATGATTACGTAGCAAAAAAAAGGAAATATGACCACTTATACGATCACTATCTTGTCTGTCTGTCCGTCTGTCAACGCAGATTTCCTTCGATGCTACTGATTAAGTTAAAATTTGGCACACATAACTAGGTTGGCAACCTAAAGACGTTAATATAATGTAAGTTCTTTTGGATAGTAAGTTAGAAAATAAAAAAGTTTTAAAAACTACACTAATTTAAAACACAAGAGTAAATTGAATTCTTATATTTTCACGCGTCCTATCCATAGATGAAACAACTTTTATGGCTATTGTAATTAAAAAACATCCGAATTTTAATAAAGATGGAGGTTCGATTATATCACCAGCTTGGGATCCGGTAATTAACCAAATAAAAAATAATTCAAATGTATTTTTAAAACAATTTAATTTAGTACATGTAAACGTTTCCATAAAATATAAACATTTTTGTATTGTGAATGCGTCTAATAGTATTGTTTTGAATCTAAATTAAAAAGACAATCGACACCTTAGTCTTATGTGAACCGAAACGTCAATAAAACTAAATAGAAACGCGATGAAACCATTTCAAATTTGTTTCATTTACAAGAGAAAATGTATCAAATAATTATTATTGGGTATATATTTAAAATATTAGTCTTCTATTGTAGAAAACTTTAACTGAATATAGTTAAAACTATGAAGAGGAACAAATAATTTTAGCCCAAAGCTTGTATGTATGTATTTACCTTACTACATCGCTATAGACAAAGTTCTTTACATCTGGATCTAATAAGTGACAATATACGGCACGGTATCCTTTCAATGTCGGCATATTTAATGGAGTTATCAACCTGGTATTTGAGAAAAATATATTAAAATAGTTTAATTTACATATAAATAACACTAGCTTTGGTATGATTTTGAACATAAAACTTTGACTTATAATATAACACAAATATTACATAACTAGTTTTGTATTTTAGTACTATACTGTGTAGGGTAGCCAAGAAAATAGAAATAATTAAAATAGTTTAATACCAGTAGTGATAAAGATGCCGAATACGCCGAATATTTAACGAATATTCGGCGCATCTCTAATAATAGCGCATAACAATATGCTTCTAACACATAATTAACTGTTCATATTTATCTACTTTCCCGCGCAATTGCCACCCGCGTAGCTTCTCGTAGATGAAAGAATTTTTAAAATCGGTCCAGTAGTTTGGAATACAATGTAAACAAAAAAACAATTAAATCTTATTTCGTTTTGATATTACTATAGATTATTATAATAATATCAAAATTTATAATTTTTAGTACTTTATAACTAGTAATGTACGAACAATAAATGTCCGTAGTGTTTAAACGTAAGTGTATGCTGTTCGTGTTTCAAATTATTTACTTATCACTGTATTATATATATTTAGAGTACAAATTGAGTTTACAAACCATGTGTGGCACGCCCTTTCTAAAGATTTATCTGGTTGTCTGTATGAATAAAAGGTGAACAAAGTCCGCAGAGTGTAGTTGAGGTCAATAACTCGCTTTGTCATCTCAATGTCGTAACCGCAGCGATGGTGCGCCAAAACTATATCTAAATCTGAAAACAATATACCATAGCCTAAATTATAATTAAAAAAGTAAATGATACTGGGAACAAAGCTAACAGTACTAATTACCACTACAGTTAGGGATTCCCGATAAAATTTATCACATACCTATGTTTATTTTATTTTGAATATATTGTGGTGCTGATCATATGTATTGTTATATTTATATATTCTTAAAGGTATATAAAAGAACGTTTTGACTAAATATGGAGTTGTTTAATTTTAAGGTCATGAGTCATATAAGTATACTATCTGTGAGCTATCCCAAAAAGTAGTTATATTTTGTTAAAAGCGTCAAACATAGCGGTTGTAACACTGTTTAAATTTATCAAATACAAGGTAGGAAATGGTATCTAATGACTAAAATGTTACGTACTACTGTTCTAAACGAACTTTTATATATATATATATATATTATAAACTTTGTAATTTTTCTAACACTGGCTTGAGTCACTAAGCCACTGTAAAGGTGGTGTTTATATGTTTTCTGCATAACACGACCTCATCGGGCCAAGGATCATTGCGTAGATTAACAAACACGTCTGATGTTTAACTCAAAAGTAAACGTTTTAAAATTAATGTCATACATGTTTTTGTTGATATCTAAGATGATATTTAACTCCTAAATAAGTTTACGAAAAGGGCAATTTATATTCCTATCTGTACTATATACACTATTAGTTTTGCTATAGGTTTATTTCTAAAGATTATGTGACTGTGAACTATACTATACTAATAAAAGAATTAAATTCAGTTATATATTTCAAAAAACATTAAAATGTTACTGAAATTAATGGATTCATTAAAAGTTATAAAATTAGACAACTTTAAATAGTCGTACGTTATTTTATTAGTTTATTATTTACTTTTGCCCGCGACCACGTCCGCGTGGTATAGTTAATTTGAGAAGCATATATTTTTCAAAAACGCCGTTTTTTTCGAGTTGATGATGAAATTTCCTTAATTTTTGAGTTCGAAGAGACTACAACAAAGAAAAAACAACAAATATCCTATCTATTTTAGCACTTTATCTTTGAAAACTTTAGAGATAATAATCCAATCCAATGCAATTTGAAATACAGATAGAAAAAACAGTTCTGAAGTTGACACAAAACTTAATCGAAAACGTAATCTACGCAAAAAAATATTAGAAATTTAATTATTTGCTGAAATAGCTTGTTTATTCGATATTTATATATGATCACTTACTCTTGGCCACATCATGAAGAAGTCATACTCTCAGCCGCCCATATCGTTAAACGTAAATCATTCATTGATCTGGCCAGGCCACATCATGATGTGGGCAGCAAGATTTTTCCATTTCATAAAATACAAACATTTTATGAAATGGCTGGCCGCATCATGAATTGGTCAATTCTACGATCTGGCCACGACATATATACTTGGAAATCTATACTAAGGTGCTTACATAATATGAATGAACAAATGTAATAAAATAGGATTTGTGAAAATTATCAACTTGAAAATCTTAGGTTAAGACCTAGCAATACTTATCCTCAATAAGTTAATTATTGATGGAATGAAAAACACAAATAATTGCAATTTCTTTAATCTAAATTTGGAACATTTTAATGTTTTTGATTTAAAGCCTGCGCAAAGTTCTTTGATCAAAATAATAGCGCGACTTAAAATAAAAAATCTGCGATTTAAAATTCATTGAACGCCATCTAGTGTAGTTCATATATATATAATATAAAAATATTTTTTCTTTCGTTAACAAAATTACTTGAATTTGAACATTTTTATCCATTAAAATTTCAAAAATGTAATATATATTTATATACCAATTTTCATCGCTATACAATAAAACATTTTGTAAATAATATTAGGTAAATTTATTTCAATGACAAATCAGATTGTAAACAATGGTTGCTATGGTAACAATTTTGGTTCCCCATAAAGTCTTTCACACCCATTTTTATCCCTTTAAGTGCTAGTTTTCGGGATAAAATATAACCTATTACCTTCCTAGGGTTATAAACTACCCAAATACAAATTTTCATCGACATAGGTCCATAAACAAAGAAGTTTCATACAAACTTTTTCACCCTTTTTGACCCCCTTCGGGATGGAATTTCCAAAAATCCATTCTTAGTACACCTCTACGTATTAAGGGGAATGTTCCCTCCGAATTTCAAGTTTCTACGACCAGCGGTTTAGGCTGTGCGTTGTCTGTCAGTCAGTAAGTCAGGACATCTCCTTTTATATATGTATAGATAACCTATAAAGGGTAATCAAGGTTTTATTTGCTGGAACCTCTAATGATACGAAAGACTAATCGCGAATTTGTAATTTTTTCACGATTGGACCAATCGCGAATTGTACCAATCGCGCCTAAACGACGAAAGTGCTGCATTGAACACTGAAAACTATAAAAAGTTCTCTCGATCTTAGATAAACATTTGAGTAAACAACAGCCTCCGTTACCAAGCCAAAATCGAACTAGCGACCTTTCATTATCCGACAGAGAACTCTTTCAACGTGATTGTAGAATTTCTCGAGTATTTGTTATCTTATTTAACGTGCGTATTTAAATTATATTTTTAACTACTTTTCTACGATAAATAATAATTTGCAATATTCACTTAATATTATAATCTACAATATACTCGTACTTTTAATATTTCCAGAATCTCCTATATTTTTTTCGAACTAAGTCGATGGAATTTTTATTAACACATAAACAAACATAATCGCATTAAACACACTTAAGAATGACAAAATGAAGTCTAGAAAACGAAGAATAACAAAAATGGTGTAGTACCAACCGGTGATATAAGAATGTGGCAAATGGAGTTGATTCTTCAACCACTTTCGAATCTCCTCAACATCTTCTGCCGTAAGTTGAGGATTTTTATCATACTCGTTCTGAACTGAATACTCCACCACTGACATTATGTTAATTCCAAATTTAAATTTACAGTATTTATGTACACTTATTTTGAATGCAAACGACACCTCTTCTCTGTCAAAGGATCTGTACACAAATGTGTACAATAGTCCATATAACTATAAAATGGATGCGATAGGTAGTAAGCGACTTGTTGTGCTCCGTTGTAAATTAGTTCAAGGTCAATAATGTAAGCGGTTTGAATAAGACGAAAGTTGAAACGTCCGATTGATCGTGCTATCGACAGGCTATTCAACTGCAAACGTACTGTCTGGATCAACGAGCAGCTTTAGTTATAAATTGTATGGTTACTGAAGTAGGCAGGTTTATTGCCGTGGATGATCGAATGTTATTGTTTGAGCCATACGTTATATAAGGCTAGGCATTTTAACATATGCATGCAATTGTGCCTTTTAAATGTGAAAAATTTTATTACACAGATTCATTTAACTCAGTAGATAGAGACTCAATTAAAATATATACTATGGAAAATTTGACAAGAAATAACTCTTCTTTTTTAGTATTTTAGTCTATCTTATCTGACTATCCGTCTGTCTACTGTCGCGACTGATTTGATCCAAATCTACAGTACATTAATAAGTACCAACAAAAGTAACTTAAATCAACAACACATTTATTTGATCAATCAAATAAAATTATTATACTAAAAGTTACGAGTACTATGACACAGCATAAGAATGTTTGTAGCGAGAATTAAAAAGGAGAAAATTGCCCACTAAAACTCAGCGATGTCTCTCCATGTGGTGATGCACGGGGACAACCCGATGACCACTTCCCGCGCCGTTCGTCCCCATTTGGGCCCACCACTTGGGGAGCGGGTCCCTCTACGGTTTGGAGGTACGCAGAGACATTTGAGACATACCAGCTGGACTGGCGCCGACTATAGACTGGAAATGCGCAACCGTGCAATTCCAGTCCTTACCCGTCCAATTGGGAGGACCCACTTAGGCATAACCCATGTCATGGTTATCCCCTGGGTCGATACGCTCTCCGGTGATCAACCCGGGCGCGCCGCTCCACAGCCCCGAAGAGCGGATTATACGAAAACCTAACTTTACAGTTTTTAATATAATTTGAGATTCGTACGGAACGTTTGGTTCGCGAGCCCCACTCATAATTTGGTCGATTTTTCTCCGTCAGCGTTATGGGATGACGACTGGGTAAAAAAAATGCAATTCTATTTAGTCTATTTATTTAATAGGGATTCTATTTAGTTTAATAGGAAAATACTAGAAACGTATTTTTTTTACTTCAATTTAACAAGAAATAGCTTAGATAACAGGCATTAAAGTTGAGGAGTGGGGGCTCGCTACGTCACAGTTTAGAAGAAAACGTACCATACGTGACGTCATGCGAAATTTCAACTCCATGTATCACCGTAATTTTATGACTACAAAAAAATATTTGTTTAATATTTTTACACTCTACCTGACGGATAAACAAACAAAAATTAGTTGTCATCCCTATTAAATAATGTAATACAAATTTTACATTTGGGTAACAAAAAAAATATTATATCGAGCTCCTCCGTACTTCGGAAAGCACATTAAGCTATTATTCATAGCTGCATTTGCAGTCGTTAATACCCTCAAATCCGCATTGGGCCAGCGTGGAAGGTCAGGACATGATCCATCCTCCTTAACCATCCATGGGGAAGGGCTGATGATGATGAAAATTTATATTAAATCTACAGTTGTTCTGAAAGTTATTGTGAAGGAAATATGGTTTTTATTTTCTATTTACATAAATTTATAAAACTAATGTTGATGTAGACAGATGTCAAGAGCAAAATAGTTCCCTGTCGAAACTACACGTCTCTCCTCACTGCAACCGAAAAACAACTGAACGATATTTTAGTAAACATGCCCAACCCTTGTTTTGTTCTTTTGTAGTAGGTATTCATACCCTGGGTGGGCACGTCAGCTGGTTCTACTAACTTTATCAAAATATCTTTCAACGAAAACATGATACAAGTATAAAAATATTTATAGAATCATCTACTTATTTAGATGTTGATAAAAACCCATATTGAGTGAGTGGGGGTCGTGCGCAGTCGGCTCTGCATAATTAAAAAACTATCTTTGGTATTCTTCTTATTCGGTAAACTTCCGAAATATGGGAGGTTAAGCAATATACATACAGCCAGTTGCACAAACGTCCATTAAAATTCTCATTAGTATAAAGACACATTACCCATACAAATTTAACATCCATTAGAGCTAAAAGGCGTCATTAATGGACGTTAGTGAAACTGTGTCATAGTTATTTTAATGTTGATTTGACTTTGTCTTTAAGTAATAAACTTAGAGTACATGTTAGTATCGGAATTTTAGTGATTAAGAAAAATTAAATGATAAATATTATAAGTAGTCTTTATGCAGATAAGAAATGCAATTTACAAACACAGCAATCATCAAATGTGCCTTGAATTATGTTCTGAAGAAATAATATTTGATGATTGCTGTGTTGATTCTCGGGAAAGTGAGAATAATGACGACAAGTTTTCCTTAAAAAAAATTGGGCAATGGTATCAGCGGAACTCGAAACAATTTCTGCAATATACATACATTTTTTGTAATTCTATTCTAACATTCATTGTAATTTTATCGTATTATAAAAATGCTGCTTGAAGGGCAGTTATAGGGGTGACCTAGGAGAGTTGTGACAATTTTTACATAAGGGGCTCTATCTCGCTTAAAAAACATTCCACAGTTATGACTCATGTGCATTAGTTTACCGCCATTCCTTCTGCTTTCTAAACCATCACTAAAATTAATTAAAGTATAAGTTTCTGAAAAAAATAACAAAATTCAAGTCCACTCCCCTTGTCACAACTCTCCTACCACCGAGGTAAGTTGTGACAGGTACCGAGGTAAGTTGTGACATCATTGTATTTAAGCTATAAGATATAAAAATACCATTACATACGACATAAATAAATCAAGCACGTTTTTTTATCAAATCAGTACTTTAATCAGTACTATAATAATAAATTTGACTTGGAAAACACACACTGAACATGTTTGCAAAAAGTTGTCCCAGTAGTCTTGTGCACTGTACAAACTTAGTAGGATCGCGAATCAGTGCACGGTCCTTACAGCATATCACGCGTACGTAGTTTCAACTGTTCGATACGGCATTATATTTTGGGGATATTCTACTGATTCTGTAACTGCTTTTAGAGCCCAGAAAAAATGTGTTAGGAGCATATGTCATTTACAGAGTACATTTAGTTTAATAAAATATGGCCTACAGGTATCCCGTAGGCCATATTTTATTAAACTAAATATTATGACCCTGCCATCAATCTATATATTCGAAGTTGATATTTTTGTCAAACAGAATCAACAACTATTTGAAAATAAGACGAGATTGCGTCATCGAAACAAATTGTGTACGATACCCTCTAAGACAGCTGTGTTGAACAAAAGTATCTTTTGTGTGGCTCCATAAATTTTTGATAAAATTCCAAAAACAATACGTAATCTGGATAATTGTAATGTTTTTAAAAGAAAACTTTGTAAATTATTAGTAGCTAAAGCATATTATAGTGTAAACGACTATCTAGCTGACAGTACTTTGTAAATGTATTAATACTTAATGAATTAATTGAATTTTTGACATAACATGTAATTGATTAGATTAGTTGACAATTACTAACCTACAAATATTGTATGCCTTTTAGGCAGATCACGGTGTAACTATTCAGTCCTTGCATCCAATATCTTTATATAACCTGAGATCAACAATAAAGATTGATTTGACTTGATTAATCATCTTTTAATAACTACCAACTAAAACAACATAGTATTAATATTCCCATAACAAGTAATTATAATATTTTCATTAACTAAATATGGTATCGCTTTGAGATCAATCATATTATTGTTATAATTAGTATAAAATCTTAATCTAATCAGATTCACAATTATGCCAAACGTAATGCAGCTCGTCCCCAGTACAATCTACGTGTGCCTAGCCTTTGCATTCAAGGCTTTGGACCCACTGATCATTCGATCTGCTGTCTGCATAGGCTTTAAGGCAAACCAAATAAAAGCAATTATTTTCTGCATCTTCTTCATCACTTGTTCTATTCTTCTTATTAGTTTTCTTTGGTTTTTTAGGTTTCTTTGTTTTTTCTTTGCTTAAGATACGCTTCTTAACATTCTTAGATTTTCAGTCTCTGTATAGTTATTTGGCATTCTCAAATAAAATAAGTATGCGGTATGCCATTATACACCTTAAGAAGCTACTAACACAACAACAAACATCTAAAGTTAATAAAAAAATTGTAAAAATAGCCCAGCAGAAATATGGAGTAAGATAGGAGAGTTGTGACAGGCTGTCACAACTCGTCTAGGTGTTCAAAATGATGTCTTGGTCCGAATAATAATTCATATTTTCTAAACACGATGCGCATACAAAAAATCAGTGCCACGTATTGAGACTTAAATAACTATATAACTTAAGAAAAAATAACACATCAATGCACTTATACTAAGATATGATATATATTCAAATAATATTTTGAAGAAAAACTTACTTTTCGCTATTTTTTGTACACTGACGATATATTTACGCAACTGTGCCATATGCACCGTCGACAGGTACTGAGTCGTGTAGCGCGTGTCGAGAACGACAAACAAGCGTTAAAGCCATCTCGCTTACTATAATAGGTAGAGAGAAATCCTCCTTGTCACAACTCACCTCTGTCACAACTCACCTACGTCTCCCCTACTCTTATATAATGCATGTAACTAATTTATCACTTCGCGTTTTTTAACTCTCATAAAAATATCGTAATCATAGACGAGGCTAGTCTAAGCAATTAATAGTTTCTTGCTCTGTAAGACTGCGTTAGTTGGTTGTAAAGAAGCATCATTACTATATAAACACAATAAACAAATAAGTGAAAAAATACATATGCATATGAAAATTTGGTTCTTGAATCAGAATTTGGCTATACTTTAATCCACGGTGGGCA